CGCAAGTTCCTATATCCTGGTTTGGGTCAGAGTTGACAGACATTCCCCTGGGGATACTCTGCATTGCAATATTTTCAGGAAGATAGACAGTAGCCATGATTGAGCTCCTGGCTGAGCATCCTGGGAATTTTCCCAGTATGCTTTGTGGCAGAGGAACCTGGCGTGAAAGAGATCTGATATTATAGTTTAATCCAAATTGGCATCATGTTATTCAACAGATCTTCTTTAATCCCTGACTTCTCATTTTGAGTTTATCTTCATAAACTTTTGCTCCCTTTGTAGTGATAGAGGAGAGTTCCTCTCTGAAAGATATGGCCATCATCTCCACTTTGAATCTCATCCTCTTAAATCTCTTTTGAGACGTAGGTCCATAAATTACTCCTTCTTCTCAATGCCTTTAGTTCCTCCTTCTCTACTAGCTCTTTGTCCTTAGGATTTAGACATCTTCAAATATTCTACCTTTTAAAATAAATGCAAACCAAAAAATCCATCTTCTACCTCATTCCATCAACCGTTCCCTCTCTTCATCTGCTCTGTCACTCTTCTCTAATAAGGTGATTATAGATAATGTCACCACTCCTTTACTTCACAATTTTTAACTTGGTGAGCTGGCTTTAACTTAGTGAGCTATCTCTGTATATAAGCTACCATTGGCAGGTGAATGGTGGCCTATTTGTTGTTAAAACCAAAAGACTGTTGTTTCCCCTGACTTTTAGGCAGTATTTGGAACTGTCCACCACAAACTTTTTAAAATATACTTCTTTTTTACTTAGGAAATGCCAGGCTCTCTTAGTTCTTCTTCACCTCTGCAGGCCTTTGCTTCTCTGTTGGTTGTCCTCAGTGCTGTAGCCTAGACTGTCTGCTTTTCTCATTCTACATGCATTCCTGGGGTGAACCAAACCCCTGTGTGGCATCCATGACCACCTCTATGTGATGATTCCTAATTTACCATCTTCATCTCTGATGTATCTTTGCCCATCAGTCAATATTCCTCCTCACCAATGGGACATCTCCCCTTGACTTGGTCACTTGCCTCACATGTAACACATTTAAACCAAAATCTGAAACTTTTCCACCTGTTATGGTTTGTGTCTGCCTGTCCCCCCAAATCCTCATGCAGTCATAGGGTGGGCTTCTAGATTTATAATTGATTCATGGTCCAGTATTGGAATTATGGATGTGAGTGCTACATCTGCCCTGGGACAGATAGTTTGCATACAATATAAGGGAGGGAAAGAGGTGGCTTGGCTGCTTGCCTCCTCCCCTTGTGCTCTTGTTGCTTTTGTTATCTTCTACTGCCTTGAACTGTTGCCCTCTGCCATGTGCCGCTCTGCCTTGGAGCCAACCGAGTATGGACTGAAACATCCACAGACTGCGAGCTGAATAAACCTTTCCTTCCTTAATTCTGGGTATCAGGTATTTTGTCTCAGCAATGAAAGAAAAGTAACCAAGACACCACCCCAACGAGCTGTGCCCCCTACATAAGGTAGCACTATGTACTGGTTGCCCCAACCAGAAATCTGTGAAGGACCCTTGACTATTTTCTTTTGTATTCCCTTTAACTAATTCTACTTAAAGTTCTATAATTCCATCTCCAAAGACTCCACCTGCTGATGCCATCACCTTGGGAATTAGATTTCAATGTGTGGCTGTACTGGGAAAAAGAAATATCCAGACCACAACAATAAGTCATCAAAGTCACACTGTTCATCAATGATTGAGCTAGAGTCCAAATCAGGGGTGTCTGGCTCTGAAGTGCTTTGTGTCATATGGTAGATAGTGGACATTGGAACCACACTGACTGTACTCAGATTTAGCAATATGAATTTACTAGGATGTGGGGCTTTGGAAAGCCACTTAATCTCCTCAGGCCTCAATTTTATCTGTGTATTAAATGTGAATAACAGTACCTCTTCTAGAGTCAAGGTAGGTATTCAGCTAAAAGCTATGCACTGTCGTCCTACAAATAGTAAACATGATACAAATATTAGCTATAACCATCAGCATCACCATCACCACCATTACTTTTAGGGCTTCTATTTGCTAGCAGAGGGAGACTCCACTGGGCCATGGGATGAGTGGGTATTCAGCATTGCTTTGAAAATTTTAGATTCTTTGGAATCTAACCATTGGCTAAGGATATTTGATAAACTCTAACAGGTACTAAAAGCACAGGTTGAGTATCTGTCATTGGAATTGCTTGGGACCAGAAATATTTCAGATTTTACCTTCTTTTCAGATTTTGGAATATTTACTTTATACATAATGAGATATTCTGGGGATAGAACCCAAGTTGAAACATGAAATTCATTTATGTTTCATGTACATCTTATTCACACAGCCTAGTTTTAAATAGCATGTTGAGTGTACCTGCATTTTGTCTTCAACCTGTCATAAGAGGTCAGATGTGGAATTGGCCACCTGCGATGTCATATTGGCACATAAACTTTTGGATTTGGAGGTGTTTCAGACTTTTCAGTTAGGGATGTTCAACCTGTAGAGTCAAACAGCTCCAGAACAAACCACAGCTATATGATACACTTGATCTTAGTCAAAAGGCTGAGAAGCAATAACATAACTACATAATTGACATTTGTTACACATGTGACAGACATTATTTAACACATCTGGTTAGTCAGGAGTGCTGTCATAAGAATTGCCCAATAAGTAGGGTTAATGTTTTCAGGGGAAAATAGTAGTTTAAGCAGGCGTGTGGAAATTCAATCTGGCAGCTGCCAAAAATATATTTGAATTGACTTGATGTGATTTATAGTAATAGTAAAACCGCACATCATATAGTAAATAATAGTTTTTCAGTTTTTAACTAAATGTCTAAATGTCTGACACTCTGTTATGTTAACTTCTGTAGCAACTCATATGTTAGACAATTTTATGATTTCAGTTTTATGAATGAGAAAACCAAGGCTCCAACAGGTGAGGACAAATCTAGCATTTGAATCCAAGTCAGGCTGCCTCTAGATTCCATGCTTTTCTTTTTTTAAATTTAGTTTTAGCTGATACATAAAACATAAAGTTATACTATTAATCAGGTATCATGTAATGATCTTGTGCTAAGACTTCTTAGCAGTCTACTTCAAGGGCTTGATTTTGTGAAGGAGCTCAAGATCCCATCTTCATCCATGTCCAGACTTTGTTGCCATGAAGAAAATTTTCCAGGGTGGAAGAGGGGCCAGAGGAGTCTAAAATGGAGAGATATCCCTGAGAGTTTGATTCAGTTCTAATTCTCTCCACCATGCAGAGCATCTTCCTGATTGAAATCAGAAAGCAGAGGACTTGCGCTTTGCAAAGAGCTGGCCTTGCAAGGGAGCCAGGCCAAACTCTTCCTAGTGCAATTTCATTATTATTTTCTGATGGGAAATTGGTCACAGTAACTAGAATTAATGATAAGCTTTTGTTCTAAGAAAAAAGTTAAGGCTTTCACTTTGTCTGGAACTAATCATAGTCTTCTATTCCTCAATTGAAGGTGTCCTGGACTAAAAATATCTTGGCAGCATCTTTCCTAACCTTTTACTTTTTTATATTTACTTAGTGTATTGTCCAGCATTCTTCTCTTTAAACTTTGGGTAGCTAGTAAATATGGACAAAGGGTACTTCATACTAATTTGGCTTGAATTCACAAACAGGATACAACTTATTCTGTTTTATTATAAAGAGTATAAAAATAATAATAATGTGACAACATAGACAAAAACAAAAAATAATAAAAATGAGACAGGGTTTCAAAACAAAATGATAAGAATTAACAGTGATTGTTATATCACATATTATTATCTTCAATGAAGTTGCTCAGATTACCAGATGTAAGAATGCAAGATTGATCAAACCATTAAAGAAAATTAAAAATAATTTTAAAAAACCGTTGGAAATGATACAGAGCTTCACCAAGCAAGACAGTAGAAATTAAACAGTGGTTGTTATATTGCATATTGTTGTCCTCAGATTAGTTGTTCAGATCACCAGATATAAGCATGCAAAATTGATCATAAAAAATTCAAGCATTAATGTTCCTTTCAATAGACCACCAGACAACAGCAGTACAATTATCCCAGCTATCCTTTATACACATATATGTTTTTTTCCTTCCTTCTTTCTTCCTTTTTCTCCCTTCCCTCAAGGATACAACTTATTCTTAAGAAATTAACTAGTTTTCCTGGTACAGATTTTGCAAGAGGAAGAGTTATCAATCATCATATTTTTTCAATTTAGAACTTCAAGATTTGAGAAAGGATATTCTTAATACTTTCTTGTTCCAGAAACATTATGGATGATTTGATTGTTTTAGCTGAATAGAAAAAAAAAAAAACAAGATAGAGCATTTTGTTTTTGTCTTTTTCTTTGGGGGTGGACACCTAGATATAATACATATTGTTCACTGAGAGAATTATGTCTGTGTTTCTTGTCCAACATGTGTCTTTAGGGGTTGAGGAGGAGGCTTGAGGTGGGACAGGGAGTTACTTTACATCCATGTGAAAAGATGGATTTTCTATTATGAGCAATGTCACAGTTCATTTGTTCTTTCCAGTAGAAATAATACATAAAACAAACAGAGATCATATGGAGGATTCAAAAAACAGTTTAAACCAGGAGAAATGGTTGGGTACAACTAGGTGTGTTTGGAGCCTGGGTACTAATTTGGAGATTTGAATGTAGTATTTCTCTCTATTTTTTCCTATCTCTTTTTGCTTTTTCTTTGCTATTGCTTATTGGTTGTTTATCATTTGTCAGGCTTTATGCTAAGCATATTACCTACATTAACTCATTTAATTTCCATACAAGTCTGTGAGAGAAGTGTAATTATTATCTCTAATTGACAAATAAGGAAATCCAAGCTCATAAAGATTAAATAACTTGTCCCAGGTCCGACAGAGAGAAGAGGTGGAGCTAGAATTTAAATGTAAATATCTTGTTCTAGACCTTGGTCTCTCAATCATCATGTCCTACTGCTTCCTCACTAAACTCTTTCTGTTCTTTGTCACCAGGGACAGGATGAGAACTTCAGTCAATGTCGTGGGTGACTCTTTTGGGGCTGGGATTGTCTATCACCTCTCCAAGTCTGAGCTGGATACCATTGACTCCCAACATCGCGTGCACGAAGACATTGAAATGACCAAGACTCAATCCATTTATGATGACATGAAGAATCATAGGGAAAGCAACTCTAATCAGTGTGTCTATGCTGCACACAACTCTGTCATAGTAGATGAGTGCAAGGTACCTTTCCCGTTCCTGGATATTGAGACCTGTATATAGTAGTGCATGCGCCATTCTTAGAAGATAAACGTAAAGCCCTGCATCCATTATTATCACATTTTTACAAAAGAATCGTGGAACCCCAGCTTCTGTGAGTCCCAGATCATCTAGCTCTGTGTCTAATATGGTTGAAAACCAACAGCCTAATGCTGAAAACCAACCAGTTGCTTATTTCATCAGTGTGATGTATCACAACCATTCTGATTCCCATGACCACCCTGCTCCACTAATTTGGTCAGTTTTTTTTATTATTTTACCCACCAATTTGTGGTTGTTTTATTGGCTTTCATATATTCTATTCCTCAAATGAAATAGTGAGCAAAATAACCAGAATCTCATTTTTGTAGCATGAATATTTCTCTTTGCTACCTGTCGTATATCAGCCAAAAATATGCCCATATATTTGCTGAACTATCTTTCTCTTATCTTCGTGGGAAGGGTAAGCTTTCATGTGGCGGTTACTTTCCCCTTACAGCAGGGAAGGAATTTTAAGAATAACTGTCTTTCAGAACAATTATCCAGACAAGTCTTTTTAAAAACATTGTTCTCTCATGCTGCCTGGCAGCACCATCTTTCCTGGAGCATAGATGTTCTGGGTTCTCCTCCAAGCTGTTGGGTGCTGAGTCTTAAGATTTATGGGGTCTGTCCAGCCTTCATTATAACTAACCTGACATTGTTAAAAGACTGGGTGTCATGACCAGAGTGAAGCAAACTGGGAGAAACCCTGGCGGGTGAAAGAGTCACCCTTTTTCACCCTTGGTGTTGTTTTGATAAAATGATTCTGTACAGCAACTGAGGACAATCTGAACCCAAGACAGAACGCTGGTACTTTTCTGACTCTTGTTGATAAGATCAAGATTAATCTTTAATTTCTTCCTGTGCTACATCTGGGTCTTTCCAAGCACATACCATGGTATCTGCCAGACACAGAAGCAATTCTCTTTACTAGACTGTATCACAGGTCCAAGATTCTGGTGGACAGAATCTTGTGCTTATCCCCTTTACATCAGGGGCATGTGTGGGTGACCAGAGCTACAATGTAAATTAGAGAGGGGATCTATCCATCAAGAGGAAATTGCATAAATTAATTCATTGACTCAGCAAACATGATCTACATTGGTAAAAATTCAAATGTACCTAAATGGCGTAATCCATTCTGTTGAAAAGTTAGTATTTTTCAGATCTGAATTAACATGCTAGGTTATTCTCATGGAATGGCTTCATACACTGTTATATTTAACAAGTACTTGTCATGTGCCTTGTAAGGTTTAGTTGAGCGTCCCCACTTCATTCCTGTGACGTCCTATATTTTGATCATTCATGAAATATTCATTGAGTCCCTATTACCTACAAAGCCCTGAATTAGGCACCGGAGGATAGACAAAAGAATGTACAGTGTGATACAGGAGAGGTAAACTTGGACTCAAATCATTGCCAAGAAAATTAGTCTGAGACAAAATGGATTCACCATATATAATTTTAAAATTTCATACTTGCGTTAAGAATAGACCTGGTGGTTAATTGTGGTATGACCCATTTGAAGCCTCTCGAGAGGTTTCTTAATATTTTCAAGAATACATGTTTGAAAGATAAAGTTTATGGGCATAGAGATGTTCTTAGATTTCAGACTTCCTGGATCTTTCTTTTCTTAAAGACCATCAGAAGAAATTTGCTTCATTTATTTAAGCAAAATACTGCCAACTTTAAAGGAAGATGTTTGCGAATTATTCCTATCACTAGGAAGGAAGGTCATAGGGAGCAGACATTTGTCAAGCACCTAAAAATGTATCTGGCATATTGTGGGTACTCAGTAAGAATGTAACTTTTTAGTATTTAGATTCCATGATATATTTCAGAAAAGGTTTTTCCTGGACAGTTTCATAAAGATAGTTACTCAGTCTCTTTATAAAATTGACTACCCACCTATAGGTCCGTTGTTTAATTAGCATTTAGATGATCAATGATGAAACTGAAAATGGGCTTATTGGTTTAATAATTATTACAGATGTTGTATTTTTAGGGAAAGAGTTTGGGTTCAGCTCAGTTAAGGCGAGTTGCTTCTCAGGCTTTGCTAGGTGAGAGAAGTTTACTCTTCTCATTTCAGATCAGTGAAATATGTTGACCCTGACAGGGAAGTGCATCTAGAGCCATTGGGATGAATGTACACTTTTTCACAATATTGGGGTCACATTTATTCATATCTCTGAACTTTCTTCCAGTCAATTGTTGCTTCTCCTTTTTTTTTTTTTTTTTTTTTGAGACAAGGTCTCACCATATAGTTCAGACTGGCCTTGAACTCACTATTGTAACCCTGGCTGGCCTTGAACTTGCAGGGATCTTCCTGCCTCAGCCTCCCGAGTGTTGTGATTATAGGTACATGCCACCATGCCTGGCTGCTTCTCCATTTTGGAAACCGTGGAAGATGCCAGTGTTTCCTGCCAGTGTCCTCCCCTTTTACTTTCCTATCACCCACGTGGTTAGACCAGAGAGAAGTAGACTAGATTGTGTAGTGGAGTTCCCAACTCTCTTTATTTCACTAGAAAAGGAAATTCCAGAAAAGCAACTGCCCCAGCTACTTTTGAAAAACAGGCCACAGTATTTACAAACAAAAAACGCAAAGCACTTCCCCCAGGGACAGCCTGGTTCTTCCAAAGGCACAACTGTGTGATTGATAAGTTTGTACTGCCTTTGACCTGGTTCATCACGGAAAGCCAAATAAGTACATTCAAGGTCACAGCAAACAGGCAGCTTTCTCCAGACAGACAGTCTGTCCCTGGCAGTCGTGCTTGGCGGTTCACTGAAAAAGAAACCAATTTGCTGCGGCTCTGGTCAAAATTTTAACCACTTCAAGTATTGTGTCGCGTTGGTCTCTCTATTCTCTAACTCTTGCCTGATAATACTAGTTTGAAGATATGCAACATCTTCTTAATTTTAGTCAGAATAACTGCATGTGAGAAGTTATTGCCAACTGCATGGACTTTCTAAAACATGGGGACGATGGGAATCAGAAGAATGGATAATTTTTATTTTTATTTGCTTGATTTGCAAAGGGCATTCGGGTCTCTGTTCCTAGCATGTTATGTGCTCGTGCTGCATGCATTTCACTTCCACTTGGGTAAGAGGAAAGCCAGATCTCTTTCAAACATTGCTGCGTTTGTCATGTCTCCATATTCTAATGCTTCCATAAATCCAGTCTCTCCATTATGTGGAATATCAGTCGTGGGTTTAAGTATGCACATGACGTTGAGGACAGACAGACAGAAGGTAAGCTAGGAAAACTACTTAGAAGTGGAAGGGAGAACCTTCCATTCTGCATCAAGGTTCAGTTCACGTTGAGCCAAGGGAACATGATGTAGCTAATCTGTTCATTATATTTGATGAATAAATTGTCTGTACTGAAATAAGTTGGATTACGTCATCACCAATGTTACGCTCTTAATCCTTCTCCTCTTTTTAACTGTTTAAAACCAAGATGGGTTGTTTGGAAGAGTCAAACCATCTTGATTTCTGATTTTTAAACTGAATATATATGAAGTCCTCTTGGTTTCACTGCAACTGAACCTTTTCCATGCATGAGTAGAACTAGCTACCTAATTCTGGATATTTCTTTTCTCTGTGGTTGTATGGAGTAGCACATCTCAATAGCTATATTTTAAGGACTATGTCATTATGCAGTGGGTCCTACGGGTAGTCAGACATGCTTCAACCTTAAAAATATAGCAGAAGTTACCCCTCTTCTGCCATACCCCCAAAACAAATGTCGATATTTTAATTCACAAATCCCTGTTGCTCACCAGCACAGATTCAAAACCAATTTGGAATAACCTTATTTCAAACTAGTACTTCAGTCCTATACTGTAACCCTGGATCTGGTGCTTCTCCACATAGCCCATGGGTTTTTTCCTGGTTCATGACCTATAAGCTGGATGTTGACGATTATTATTTTCAGGTAACTCTGGCAGCCAACGGAAAGTCAGCCGACTGCAGTGTTGAGGAAGAGCCTTGGAAACGAGAAAAATAAAGACTATGACTCTCAGCACATTCTTGAATAAACTCCCCAGCGTATCTTATGGTAAAAGATGATATAAACAAGCATTCTTTAAAAAGGAAAAAAAAAAAAAGCATCTATTTCTATGTTTACTTAATCTGTTAGCTGAGGCTTAGAGGAGCTGTGGTGAGTCCGTGATGCCAGGCACGGTGCTGTGTCTTTGCCAAGTAACGCTTCATAACTGGCTAATTTTCTGACTTGTGTTATTGTTTGAATGGATGTGCTGGAGGAATCCCTTTGAATTGAAGACACATTCTTGCCAGCCTTCCCTTCTCTCTCAGTGCAGAACTGTGGATGCTCTTTTCCCAAGGGACATGACAAAAGCAGTGTGGTACACTCCGGGGACTTGGGACAATGAGCATACACACAATGTGTTATTCCTTAAAGTGTTCCTGTCTTACCTTGCTGCACATAAGAGATTCCGCTAGAAGCCTCTAGAAGTAACTCCCTTTTGGTATCTTATAGAGTTTGCACACATGCTGATTGAAAGCGAGTGTCTATGTTAGGGAATTCAAGCTTCCTACCTTCTGGGTGCCCTTTGCGTTGAATGTTTCCAAGAGAGTTTTAGCGGGAGCCGTACTCTCTGGGCAGCTGATTATGGAACCCACTGCCTCTCTGCCCCCTCCTAAGTTTGTGTGAATAGTGGTTAAAATTTCAAAATATGTCTCATCACTCTTTCTAAAGTTGACATTGGGTTAAGAAGTATTTTACAACCACTATATATATATATATGTTAACAGAATTAATGGAGTGCAGATGATATAAATTTTAACCAGATTGAACTACCCAAATTCATTTGCATTTTATTTGTATTCATTTATCACAGTGACATCAAGTGAGGTTATGTGATCTATGTTTTGCTCTCTTCGTTTCACCCACAAGATTCCCATTTGGGTTTCTTGCAGAAAACGATTCTTTAGATCTCTCAATCATTTCCATCATATTCTCATCCACCTAGATGGCCTGATCCTTTGTCCTCCACACTTGGACTAAGCTTGTGTGAGCTGTGCCTCTTTTCATGCCATACCTTGAAAAAACAAACTGGTATCTAATGAATATGTACAAGGCTTTTTTGTTATATCCAAGCACATAAAACTAGTTACAGGACACGGCTGGAAGCAGAGCCAGTCTTCCTCCTCAGCTGGAAAGGAACAAAAGACGAAAGTACAAAACCCTACAAAGGTGATGTCTTTTTGGAGTGGTCCCGCCAGTCTTGGTCCATGAAATGAGAACAAAGGATGACAGCACGGCTTCCCAGATGAAGCTTTTTCAAGGATATGAAAGTTTGAAGGAATAAATAATATAATTGGCACAGAGCAGGGCCTTGCACCTGGAAGACAGCCAGCAAATCCTTAATGATTGGTTATGCAAGCTGAAGTTTTGAATATGTCTACTATTATTTTCTATTGAATAACCCACAGTATTTTCCTAAGGTTGCTGGGTTGGGGAGTTAACTGGGGATTTGAGTCATTGAGAGATAAAGCACAATCGAGTCTAAGGAGTAGAACCTTAGTCCACATGTCTAAATGTGTTTGGTGTCTCCCATGAGGCCAGCAGAGGGATGCAGAAGTATTCATAAATACATATAGAATCCAAATTCTCTTAGAGGAGGGAGTATTTGGGCATCACCTACCCTTTATTACCTAATCCTTATGACTTCTCTCTTCCAACCCAGACAGTTTTGAAATATACAAAAGATGAGAATCCAGTTGCTTTTTTGTCTCTTAAATCCTAGTTATTTTTTGGATATGGATCACTACTGAGCAGTATTAAGCAGATTTTTTAAAATGTCATTGATCTTTGTTTTCATAAAATGGACAGTTAATAGAGTGAGTAAGGTCATGCTCAAATGTAGTAGGGAGGAATAAATTCTTTATAGCAGACATGTGGGCCAAAGGGACAGTTCCTGGTTTTAGCCGTGAAACCCAAATTTTCTTTAAGTGGTACTTCAAGAGGTTTTTTACGGTGAGCAGAAAGATATAGGCAAATCATCTAGGAGGTGCCTGCCTTTTGCTGTAGAAGGCCAACTTGGCATTTGCATACACCAATACGTTTCTCAAAGGAGTGGTCACAGGATCATCTTTGCAAGTCTCTGCTTGAAAATCTTTCTGGTTTCTTTTGTTTTCATCTTTTTCCTAGCTATGCTATTAACCTGTAAATATGTAAGGGGGATAATGTGGTCAAAAGAAAGAGAATTTACCACTTCACAGAGCAGGCTTTTCTGGTTTGAGACTGTATACGGTGTCTGATGAGAATACACTTAGAAAACCATGATTATCTGGAAATTCAATAAATTATATTAAAATGAACTAGTTTATCAAATTCAAGAATACCCTGACTATCCACACTGCATGTAGAGCTGACATATGAGTATGTCCTCTAGGGTTTTAGGCTTCATTCATTCTTCCCATGCCGTGCCCATTGGGGATTCTTTTGTCCAGAATATGTGCCATAAACAGAACAAATGGATCCAGAGTATACCTCTAATAGCCTTGACCTAAATGGGATACTTGTCAGTTATATGTACAGATTTATGCTAATGGGCTCATCACAGATAAAAATGCTTATAATAGTCCATTAATATTTGATGATACATAAATGTTGTATATCTATATATAGAATCAGCAGGTCAGGTACATACACTGCATCTGGTGAGGTTTGTACATCAGGACTTTGTCAATACCATTTTGCTATAGGCTTCTTCACTTTTTAAAGGATTAGAGTCATTTTAGTTCAAAACCAGCTAAGGAGAAATTTACCCTTCCCTTTCTTATCCTTGCCCTTTTGAGAAACCCAAGTGGACTCATCATTTAATTATTTGCTAAAATTGAACAAGTCCAGTCCAACTAGTGAGAAGTTAGCTTATCTTTCAAAGTAATGTCTTACCTTAGACATTTGAGGATATGTTCCTCACCACATGGTTCAAAATGAAGTACATCAGAGAATCCGGGCAACCATCTTGTTTATGTAAACAGATCTTCAGTAAAGAACTCTAAGTGACTTTAGGACCTTAGGTAGCTATCAGATCCCACTTTTGACTTCTCTTTGGGTATTGAAACCCAGTCTGCATTCATCTCGTTGCTTGCTGAAGTTACCATACCCTACAAAAGACAAATATTTCTTCCTCCTCTCCAACCACTAATTCACCTGGATGTTCACAAAAGTTAGAGGAAAAAGGGTGCCAAAATGTCTAGCTCCTGGATTTAGACTTGTGGAAGCTGAGAAAGGCTTGAGAGAAAGTTAGTTGCTGGAGAGATTTCTGGTAGTTGATGTCAGAAATCCCAGTGAGCAATTGATTAGATCTCAAGTAATCTCCATTTGTTGAGGTATTTGCAGAAGTATCTAGTGAAGAAGGCTTTGAGAGTTGGGTAGCTGGGAAATTTATCTCTTGGGCCCCCCCAAAGGAAAACCAATTCCACCTGCCATGTTTTCCCAAATATCACACTTCTTTTTTCTCTTAATAGCAAAAATATAATTTTTTACTTTTGTCAGAAGCAAGGCTTCTGCTTATGCAATATCTTCCCAAGAAGTACAGCAATAAACTCAACTAGGTATGCACACGCTCAGAGATGATTTCTGTGGTTCTAAGCCTTGAAAAACAAGTCTCAGCAGCTCTTGCCTGGTTTGATGACTAAAAGTGGACAGCAGTTACACCCCGGGGAAGGTGGTGTAACTTCCCCTACTTAGCTGATTTCTAACTCTCAGGGCCATCGATTGTCTGGGTTGCTGGTATTGCTTTGCTTATTCTCCAAGTGAACTCATTCCAAGCCAAGAAAAGGGAATGAATGAGAGTTTTTTGTGTGTGTGTTATTATCACACTCATTCTTTGAATAAGGATATTGAGGTCTTGGGGCATAAGAAGATTAAGTTAAAGCACAGTCTGAAGTAAAAGTGAAATAAAACTGATTGTTGAAGAAGATGAATATTTCTAGTATCTGTAGTCATTTCAAATTAAACCTAGGAGAACAGTCACCACCCAGGCAGCTGACTTTAGTGGGAGATTGCTCTCTTTGGATGGAGTGAGTTCAGAGCTGCTCATGAAACATTAGTTTATGATGACTCTAAAGGAAAATGTTATTTTTCACTCTTCCTCCTCCCTCCTATTCCACTGTTTAAGAAACAACTTAGTGAATGACCATATAGGTTAGTCTAAGGATTCATTTTAGAACAGATAATAACCTGAATTGGATCCTATCTAATTTCATGGCATAATGCAGTTAATGCAGGCAATGACACAGAGATGACAGGAAATGGCATGGTTTGGTAGAAGAACTGTTTGACATAGACTTTGCCCGGTTTTAGCTGTATGACTTACACAACTCACTTTATGTCCAAAGCTTTATTTTCTCTCATTTGAAAGGTGAAAGGGTTGACTTAAATGATTAAACTCCCACTAGCAATAAAATCCCTGATATTACAATCTGTTTTATTTTCTTCTTTCTTAAGAGACTTACTTCTCTAAAATACTATTATTTATATTTTACATCAGAGAGGTTCCATTCTACCAAATAATCGATTTAAATTTTTCTCATTCCCCCTTTTTAAGCCTCTATTTATTTTAGGTTTATGACAAGCTTGGCAAGTGGTCATGTTAATCTATGATTTGAGACACCAGTAAAAAACCTTTTATAAAAGTTCCTTTTACCTACACTCACTGTCCTAGTAGAAGTAGTGATTTAGCTCAGGGAAAAAATGCTGCCAGAGTCACCGTGAGGGACCGGACATGTCTACAGCTGCACTCGACCTCTTGCATCATTCTTGCTGTAGCAACAAAACCCGCTCCAAATACCCAAACCACATAATTTTATCCAAACACTCCTAATTGCCAACCCTGTATGGGAATTTGGGAGCCTTTGGCAAATAAACTTGAACACTCATGAAATTTGGTGCAAGACTTACACAATCACAGCAACAGTCTGTAAATACCTTCCCTCCTCCGCAGGTATGCAGGCATGCACATCCATGTACAAGTAAGCTGGGCTGAGGCCTTTCTCTGGAGGGATATGCAAGGATATTTGATTGAATTCATTTCCATATTTTCCACTTGATTTTCTTGCGTCATAGGCATTACATGGCAGGTAGAGAAGCTCTAACTTACATGGATAAAGTCTTACTGTCACTGTCCTTTTCAATGCTTGTGGAATTTCTAGTGAGTAGGACACCAGGTGTGGTCCACAGGGTGCCTGACACCAGCCATGACCTTCAAAGAACGTCCTGTACTTTCTGGCATTATTGCAAAGGGCTCCTGCTTGCATATTTGCCCTGTATCCAACCTTCTGCTAAATAGAGTGGAGTTGGTATTTCCTGTGTGGTGAGCACCCTTATTGCTAGAGAAGACTTCAGTTCTTCAGATTTGGGGAAGTGAGAAGTAAATCTAGGACGAGATTGAAGATTGCAGTTTTTTATTTGTTATTGTTGTTGGTTACTTGTTTTTATCCCATCAGTTTAGAAAACCCGACATGAGAGAAGAAAGATAAAGTTTCTCAACTGACCTATTGAAGAACCTGTAGGAAAGTGAGAGAAGTCCCTAAACTCACATTCCATTTATTCTAAATAATACCCTGACTACTGTTCAGTCCTTCTTTTTTTTTCTATGTCTATCCTTGCTTCATCTTCCAATCTCTGAGCCAAGTCTCTATTGTAATATTTAAAACAATCTTTCCAGTTGTTAGGCAGGGATTTTTTGTGCTAAGAATAAAACCTACTACTGGAACAGACCTTACTGCTTTCGCAGTCAGCATTTGACCTTGACAATGGGTAACAGCAGGTCCCCAGTTCCTCTGGAGACACCTCCAATCCTGGGTGAGTATTGGAACATAACAACTGACTGTTACCCTTGTCATCATCCCCTGCGGAGATGGGGATGATGCAGCCAGAGCTTTGCTACTTCTGGGGCTCTGTTTTTTCTCATGGCAACTATTTTGCCAGCCTGAAACAGTCTGTTGCCTTTGATAGGGGACAAACATACTCACTAGCCAAAGAAGTTGGACCAGCGCATCTCTGAGGTTTCTTCCCCATAGAGCAAATTCTCTGAGATGTACAAGCAGAAAGTTGGCTCTCTGGTGGCTTACAACACTATGAGAGTACTTTCCTCACTAGGAACTCAGCCTTTGGCATGCAGATTCTTCTACAAATCACCTTAACCCCCTCCCTCCTTCCCCTGAAAAATCTCAGCATTGCATCTCCATGTTGCACAACACAGATCAGACTATCTGGTCACTATAGAGATTTGTATATAAAAAAGCTACTTTTTTGAGAATTTTTTATATTGTTTTTCTATTTGTTTTCTACAGTTTGAGGAGAGAGCTGGCAAACTGTGAATCTAATTTTGTCTTGCTGCCAGCAGATATATTTTGGCTTCCTGGTAAGAGTCCATGCTACCAGGGACAATATCTTGTTATCTGATCAGTATTACACCCCAAATTACTACAAATTACTTCAGCTAAGTCTTACATTCTTTCTTCTACAAATCCCCAAGCTTCTTTACTATTATTTATTTTTTAAAAAGCATGAGAATATGTATTTATAGTCCTGGATATTATATGTTTAATATTAATTTAGCCTTTAATAATGTTACAGGTTTATATCTATTCTTCAGAAATCATAAAGAACTCAGTGGAGACTGAATTCATCTATTTAGTACCTGTAATTTTGCAGACAGATATTTTCTTATGGTATTTTCTATAGAACCACATATTTAGAATTGTAACTAATAGAGCACAAGACATTTCTACAACAACCTAGAGCTATCAATTGTTTTCTGAACATATAGCCACAGTCAAACAATTTAAGAACCCAGTCCTCAGTGATACGGTATCACCATCAAGAACAAAGAATTGCTTAAATCAGGTGGTTAAGATGTATGTTTAAATAATCTTTTTAACTCAAGGAATGGTGCTGATTTTTATTTTGGGCACCAGGCCTTGTTTTTTCCAGCTGAGCATTCTAAGTGTTTGCTTTTCTCTGAAATCACCAAAGGCAAAGTGATAATAGTGGGATCATTTCTACATCAGAATCTCTCATGCCTTTCTAAATGTTTGTGTGATAACTGGCTTAGAAAAATTTTGAGTAGCAAAGGCTAAGAATGAATGCTGTTGTACAGAGTCACTGCAATTAATTCTTGCTAGACAAAATGACAATAAATGTCACATTGTTAAATGAATTGATTACATATTTTTAAATAAAAAATTCATACTGGTTATGAAGCAATACTGTATCACTGGGGACTGGAGGTGGGAGTTTAGAATCACACTGAAATTGTTCAAGAAGCCCAGGTAGTTTTTTGTCCTCAGGTGAATAACAAACTATGTAACCTTCCCAACAGGTAAATCAATAGCCACTGAAAAGACGAGGTGTCTTTCCTCCACCAAACACATTTTTCAATATGGTGGTGGGACTAATATTTTTACCATGTTTTAAACTGTTGTCAGTTATAGAGAGAATGTACTAGTATGTATTTGAACCTGCTCCTCATTAAGCAAACAGATTAGATATGCCCTCAAATGGCTAAGATTGTGTCTTTTCAAGTACAACTAGCTGTCAAAGCATGAAGTTCTTGTGTATACACACTAACGCTTGGTCCACGCATGAAGAACAGTGCCTATGCACTTTGTGTAGCTATAATGTAGGTATCTCTGTGTAATTTCAGTGAAATGGTGTATAGATGTATTGTAATTTAATTTAAATGTTACTTTTGGCTGTTCACCTAGATGCAATAGATATGTTGATTGCTGTTTTCAAAACACTTCTTTTTCTTCTTAGATACCTAGCAATGAATCACTTTTACTCTTTCATAATGTGATTTGGGGATATGTATCAGTGAAGAACCTATGTATGAATCCGTTATACTAATGATTGTTTCAATGTATGTGTGTATCCAGCACCTTTGTAAATACACAATTCAGAGCAGGGATGGGTTGGATGTGTGTCCTGGTTCTTAGTGAAAGGCCATTTGATGTCTATGTAATACTTAGTGAATAGAACTGTGGAGCTTTTGATGATCTAGGCTTAAGTAGCTATAGAGTGAGGATGTTCATCTCAAGTCCTTTGCTTGCTGGATGGAGCTCAGAGAGCCAAACATTGGCCTTCTCTTGTGCATGTTAGCATCATGTCTTTAGGGAAGGATCAGCCCCTCTGGTTGTCAGATATTCATCCTGATGCTTGTGACCTGAAAGTTCTGAAGAGCCTTGTCCCATTTGGCTTCTTGAGTCAGAATGGGAAAAATATTTACTGACTAGCTGCCATGCAGGTGAAATCCCACAGAAGCACAGTTCTGGCAAGAAATGGCACTGTTGCCATCGAAAGATCAAGCGCTAGAAGCACAGGAGCAGTCAGTGTACAATTTTGGGGGTTGCAGGGGGCAACTGCCAAAGCACAGATCCCATATATATGAAGGGAGTGTAACCTCCTCTACCCACGTGCTCTGTGTGTATGTTTGGAAGTGACTGAAGATGAGATTAACAAATTTAATTATACATTTGCCTCTGAAAACACACATTCTGTTTAATTAGCACTAAATGCAACGTCTAGAGCTCCTGTAACCCTTTTCTCTTCCCCAAGAGCAGAGAAGAGGAGAAGAAAGAGCAATGTGCTATAGGAAACACTGAGTGCCCCTCTTTTTTTATTCAAAGGTATGAAGCCCAATATCATGAGGGCAAACAGCCCATTAATTTTCAATGGCTTCTTCAGATGAGTGGGATGAAGGGAAATGGTAGATGGGCACATTTTTCCTGGAAAATGTGGTTTCTTCCAGTGCAAGAGGAAAAGCTTACTGAAAAAAACTTAGCCTTTAGGCAGGATTATCCTTGAAGAGTCTTGTATATCCAGAATGAAAGATGAGCATAATTGTTCTCCTCACATTCACAATCCCCACTGATCTAAAGTCATGTGGTGTAGAGCATCTATAGCACATTGTACTTAAAAGACTAATTAATGCAAAAGATAAAAAGTTCAACTAATTTTGTGGTTGTTTCTGATAAGTGGTACTAGGAAATACCTTGTTGGCAAAGCACATTTTGGGTAGATGAGGTCTTTCATTTTCGCCTTTAGCTTTCCATGCTTTCTTACCATGTGGACTGATTACTGTAACATTTCACGTGTAAAATTACTGGACATTCTTTATATGCTGGAAGTAACCTGTGAGTTCAAAATTTCACTAAGTGTTTTAACCTTTGTGTATATATTTCTCATCAATAAATGTGGATTTCAATTTCTCTTGGTGGTTGCCTCTTTTTCAATTCCCACCTCAGTCTATTGTTGCTACAAGTAAGGGTGGTGGTCCTTGCGGAAAAAAAATTATGGATTGAAGGCTACAGCTCCAAACGAATATTTTCTAGGAAACATTGACATATGGTAGTCATATGTTATAGTCTTTACCATACAAGGGCAAGAGGTTTATTTTGGCTCATGGTTTGGGAGGCGGAAATGTCTCAGTTCAGTGGCCACGTCCAACAAGGTCCTCAAGGTACATTACCATGTGGCAGATGGCATCACATGGAGGAAATGCATACAAGAGTATCCAGTGGCAGGGCAGAAGGAGCCACACACGTGGGGGTGTCTTGCTTCACAACAACCCATTTTCATGGTAACTAATAAAGTTGTGAGAGACCTATCCTACTCCTTGGAGGCGAGCATTCATCTCTTCTGAGGGTGATTTCACCAGGGACCTAATTACTTCCACTAGACCCCACCTCTTAAAAGTTCTATCACTCCTCAACATTGCCATACTTAGGGCCAAACAAACCACATCTGAACCAGAGCAGGAAGTATAAAAGAGGCTGTTTCTTCCTGCTTTTGTGATTATCAATGCAAAGAAAAAGCAACATGGCAAATCTTGCACTAAATCTTAATGCTTCTTCCTGAAGCTTTATGTGCCTCACTTCTGCTCTTAATTCAATGGCAAAAGCAAATTAATAGCTCTGTCTAATTTCAGGGGGCCAGGAAGTGCAACCTCACCAATTGCATAGGAAGAAAACTGTAAATAGTTAGTGAATACCTCTAGTACCTATTGGGTTATAGAAATTCTTTAAATCATTCATAAAGGATAATATACAAACACAGGTTTCTCAATGAGTCCAATAAACTTTTCCCACAATATTGAAAAAATTACTACTAGGGAAGTACTGAAAGATCATGTTAGAGAAATAAAATGTGTGGTCCTCAACAGTAGGATCACCCTCAGAGAGTAAGATGCTTATTGCTGTGAAAGTTGTGTGTCTAAAAATGCAGACCCATTCAGATAAGGATAAGCTCTCTGTTTATATTCCAGAGCACCCACTGGTAGATGATCTGGATTAAGTGAATTGCTGTCTCCCATTTGTTTTTACTGAGAAAAGAGGTAAATATTTTAAGTAAGTGAAATGCATAGAAATGATGTGTTACAATTCTTTTCATTATCAGTTTATTCAAACTGTTGATCAAAATGGGTGCTTTCTTTGAGCCAACATTTCCTTTTTTACTTGGAGCCAGGTCAGTGTCACATCTATGTTCAAAATATTATCAAAACCTAATTACAGAAAATATGCTCACTGGTGCATTTCCAGGCTGCCATTTTATTTTAAGGCAGTACAGAGCCACAAATCAGAGTTAATGTAAACTTCTTAGCCTTTAGTATGGACCCAGCTTGATCAAAATCAGCTACTCCTTCCAACAATGACAGAGCCAGAAGCTTTGCTTTGCTTGCTTTACCTGGATCCTTTACCTGGATCAGGGGTGCTCAATGCAACCATTGTGAGGGCCAGGTAAATGTTGCTTTGTTAGCACTAGAAAAAGGAGGAGGAAGAGGAAGAAAGGAAGAAGCATGAAGAATAGGGGGAGTAGAGAGAAGCAATTGTGGGGTGAGTTATGACACAGGAGTCCTGACCTTGCTCGGTGACTAAAAACTTCTGCAGATGTGACTAAGTTTTTCCTTACCATAAGAAGTGCTTGCTCTAATCAACTTACAAAGAGGAAAAGTTTATTTCGTCTCATATTTTTGGTGGTTTTAATCATGCTCAGATGCCCTCATTGCTTCTGAACCTGTGTAGTGCCCCACATCATGGCTGGGACTGCCTGGCAGAGCCAAAAGCTACTCACCTCATGGTTGGGATGGGAAGAGAAGGAGGAAGAGACCAGGGTTTCACAGGTCTCTTCAAAGGCATAATTAAAGTTTCGTGCTGTGCCTGACCTCTTAGTTTCCACCGCTTCTCAGGAACCCCAGGGGGGGGACTGTCTTTAACACATCCAGCTTTGGACAACATTCCAGATCAAAACTATAGCACTGACCAAGCCTCTCTTGACATCATTTTGTAATATATAAAGTTAAGAGTTAGGACTAGACAGTGTATAAGCTTTTCAGTACTGAAACTTGAATCATCCCCCTAGGTAAGTTGTCATGACACAGATATATTGTTTTCTTGATCTCATTATCTTGTTACTACAAAACAATATATGTAACCTAAATCTAAGCCATAACGCCACAAGGAATAGAAGCCCATTACCATGCCAGAACCAAAATACATAGCATTCCTTCCCCCTCATGCTCCTCCTTCATCCCATTCTTTTGCTTAATTTTGTGTTTACCATCTCTCTGCTTTTTGAAGAATAATCCCCTCCCAAACATATGTGTGCTTAAACAATTTTGTATATTTTAATCTTTATAAAAAGATTATGTCATTTTTTCAACATCCTTCTTTTTCTACTTACCATTGTGTTTCTCAGTCCGTCTATATTGTTTCAAGTAGTTGTAGCTTGGTCATTTTTCATTGATGTATCATAATATGACAATATGTGAATATACCACATGTTGTCTCTTCATTTCCCTGCCAATGGACATCTGCTCATTTCCAGTTGTTTTTCTATGGCCATAAACATTCTTGTCTATGTTTCCTGTCTGTAGGACCTAGGCGGCTTTGATTCATGTGCTCCAAGATATAATAATAATAATAATAATAAATAATAGCAATATTATTGTGTTGTGACTACAAAGCTGCTCGTCAGACACTCTACCCTTCGTCCATGGCTATATTAGTCACTTTCCTGTTGCTGGACACAATATCTGATACCAAAGCTGAAAGGAGGATCATGTTTTAAGATGATTCAATCCATGGTCAGCTGGCTCCAAGGCAGAAACATCATGGTGGATGAATGGGGTGGAGCAAAGCTGCTTAGTTTAGGGCAGCCAGGAAGCAGAGCAGGGAACAGTGCCAGAGAGCAAGAGGAAAGGGATCAGACATAAACCCCAATCTCACACTTCCATGACCAAACTGGATGTACCGAGAATTGTGCTCCACTAATTCCCAAGGCTGACACCAAAAGCAATCAAGTTGACCCTGTATCCGAACCATCCCAATGGCCCCCATAGAAGGCCCAACTATGTACTACCCTTGACATCCTAATAGTCCATACACTACTGCCTGTTTTATGGAGTCTACCTCTCAAAGGAGAACACTGAGGCAAGCAAAAACATTTCCAGGGGAGAATTTAGGGTTAAAACTAAGGATTTCTTACCTCAGGCTCACGTAATAAGGCCTTTGAGCACAGGTATGATAGTAGCTAAGGAGGGTGCACTTAGTCTTTGATGTCTTCTTTCAGCAATAATGTATGAGACACAGGGGACTCCATCCAGCATCAGCAGACTACTTGCTATGTTGTAAATTGTCATTTGACAGAGGAAGTTGCAGAAAGACACACACACATACACACACACACACACACACACACACACACAAACCCACTACCTACCCAACAACTGCTGGCAGTCCCTTCAGCTATATCTCTGTCTTAATCAGTTTCAGTTTAGATAATAAAGTGCCATAGATTGGATACTTACAAACTACCAAAATTTATTTCTCACAGTTCTAGAAGTTGGAAGTGTGAGATGAAGGAGCAGGATGGTCAGGTTCTGGTGAGGACCTTGTACTGGATCACAGAATACGGTCTTCTCTTGTGTCTTCACCCAGCAGAACAGAGAAAAGGGAGATTTCTGGTGACCTTTTACAAGGACTCTAAGTTCATTCATGAGGGCTCTACCCTTATGGCTTAATCAGCTACCAAAGGCCCTACCTCCTCTACCATCAGTTTGAAGTTAAGATTTCACTATATGAGTTTTTACACATATATGGATATAACACAAATATCCAGTTCGCTGGAACTTTCTGGTCCCCCACAAGAGAGGACTATAGGGCCAAAAATGACAGTATCGGTGAAGAGGCTGCGCTCTATGACTGCCACCTAAGGCAAGAGCCTTGTGGGTACCTCCTTCCAGGCACAGTGACATAAACAGGAGGTCAGGGCCCTCTGCATCAAAGAGCCATAGATAGGTAAGAGAAGGTTCGGACAACTCCAAGGAAGCTTTTGTGAGCAGTTTTTCCCCTTGTCAACCCAGACAGGAAGGTGTGGGTAGAGGAACTGCCCACACAGTTGACGTGGGTAACACAAGAATAGCAGACTGTGGAGTCCCTGGCCAAAACACAAACGTTTCTAGCTTAATACTTTTTCTTCCTGATAGTTTTCTAAGTTTAGTGAATTCACCCACTGAGGTAGGAAGGGACATATTTAGTTCTCCCGTTGTAAGAAAAGGTGAACCACAATCAGGAGCACTGACTGAGTCCCCTCTGCTTGTCCAAGAAGAGTATAAAAAGAATAAAGCCATCCAGAATAAACACTGCTTCTACTCTCAAACACGGAAAGCAGTGCCTTTAAACTCTGATGAATTCCATAAAGCAGATGAAGAAAACATTATTCCATCACTTCTCTCTTGCTCCTCCTGAGTCAGATGGAATATGTGAGACCTCAGAATCTTTGTCTGTTACTTAGGGTTAATCACATTCTAGCCAGCCATCCACAGATTGTCTGGAAAAGCAGATTGTCCTCCCAGTTAAGGGAAAAATACAAATATAGAACAGCTATCATCTCTGCTCCCCTCTTTTCGTTGCATGACCTGGCTCTGCTGGAATTCTCCAACGGCTCCTGTCATTTCTCAAATGTTTTATAGCTTGGATAGAATCCTGATCGCCAGAGGGAGGGGCCGTGGAATTTTCCAGTTGCTTTTGACTGAGGATAAACTTTAGCTGGAACAGAGTTTTCCTTCTCCACTTGATCCCTGACTTTCATCTTGGTGAAGAGGAAAGTTATTCTTCCTGTCTGTGACACCATGAAGGACTTCAGAGGGAAATTTAGCCCGTGTCTTTTTGCACATGCAGAAATCTATACTCTAATTTAAATGGACTAGAGG